GATGAGTTATATTTGCTGTGGAGCATATTCCATTTGATGGTAAGGCAAGATGTCTGTAGCTGTAAAGAGTATCTGCATCAAACTGAAATTTGTCAGCTCTGCTAGTGAAAGAAGGGGCCTGAATTACATTTTGTATTAAATTAGGTGCTTAAATTAGAGTAATTACACCAAAAGACCTAGCTACTCAAGCCACATGGCAGTAATTCTCATTCTGCTTTTCATTTTCCGTGTTGTCTTCTTTCCTTCTCTCTCCTCTTTTTCTACCCTCTTAAACATGCTACAGTTTTGCAGAGAACTACTGGGTATCTTGACCGTTGTCCCCTTGAGCGGGAGGAGCAAATCCCTCATTAATAAGTACAGTGTTCTTAAGCCTGCATAGGTTAAAATGACCGGTCCTTAAATAGGGATGTTATGTAAATATCGACAGTGCAGTACCAGGCAAATACCATTTTCTTTTACAGTTCCACTGAAGTATCTTGCTTGGCAGCAGTGAAAAATTTCTTTTGACTCATCTGTATTAGTTGAGTCTTAAAATGCTCTTGTGATATTGGTAGTATTTACCGCATGTTTGGCAGGTCAGGCTTTGTGTCTTTGTGCCCTGACAAGTGATGGCATTTGTCCGTGACCAGTGGTCATTCAGTGGAAGAGCCAGCACTCGAACCTGGAGAACTCCTGAATTCCAGTGCTGTCCTATAAAAGCTGGACGTGACTGCATCCCCACGAACGTGTGTGCTGGCTGAGCGGTCCCTTCTGCTTTTATTGGCTTTTCTGGGTAGATTTCACAGTAATTCAGTACTACTGTCTCACTGCATAGTAGCGATTTTTCCTTAGAAAAAGACTCTGGAATCTAACTGTGTTCTTAATGGACTGCAATTATTTAATATGGTAGGATGAATGCAGCCTAACTCGGATGGGCTTTTCAGCGGAGATCATAATGACTGTAATTGCAAAAGGATGCCTTGCTCAAGTAGAAGCTGCCAGATGCAATGCCATTCTGATCTAAAAAGGTCACAGTAAAAGGGACATTTAAATTAAGTTATAAATTACAATTGAAGAACAATATTTTGATGAGCAAGACCAGAGATGTCAGAGCTGCAAGATGTAATTCATGGGTTCATTACAGAACAGAGGTGCCTGACAGCTGAGCCATGCCAAAAGGAGAATTTATTTGCAGCATCACACAGACGGAAAATGGCAGTTCTGCTGAGAAGCTGGAGTAGAAACTTGAAACCTTGTGGGAATGCGCAGACTTTATGCTAATAAGGCTTGCCTGTGATCTAGTGTTGTTTAATGACTGTTGTAATATAAATGAGGGTTTTGGACACGTGCACATTCAGGATTTTTCTTTAATCTAAAATCCTCTCTACTGATACAGAAGTTGCTGTATTTTCTGTTTTAAAGTATAGGTACATTTGTGTTGATTCCTTTTGTCGCGGTTGTAGACCTACATAATATCACAGTGGTTCAAAATTTAGATGGCAGAGTTAATGCTAAAAATGGTGATTCTCTAGATGACAGGGTAGTATTCTAGTGTTTATAGCAATACCTTGAAAAGTTCAACCAGAAGTTAATGAAACCGTAGGCAGTCATCATTAGCTATTATTTATATGTTTGAGTTGCTTGCCAATAAAGTGCTTATATATATTAAATGACCGAAAGTAGTAAGCGGAGAATGAGCCAGTTTGAAATGTGTAAATTTAACTCTGGCACTTAATAGAAAATATTTTTCCTTTTTGCTGCATTATCCTATTCCTGACACTTATAAACACTTTTTTTTCCATGCTTGCTAAAAGTAACATTTTTCAGGACACTCTAAACCTGTATCAGGTCTCTTGTTTTCACATCTGTGTCTTCTCTGTTGTCTGACTCTTCTTTCACGTCTGTGCTTACGAGTTTTGTGATTGTTATTAGTGTAATTACTTGGTCAAAAGTTAATGCTCGTATTTTCTGTTGCTGATTTGGGGCAGTTCTGATGGCCTGTAAACTCTTCTGTTTTTCAGTAACCAGAGCAGTTGCCTGTTAGACCAGTCCATTCTTTCTGTGCTTGCCTGATTTTTTTGCAGATTGAACCGCTTGGGCAGTAGGGCTGCCAGGGGAAAACACGTGTTGTCCTTGAGGCAAAATAAAGATGCCCTCCAAGTTACAAAGAGGCTTTGACATTACTGCATGTTTTGGGAGGGAGCAAAGAGGGAAAAGAAACAGAAGCACTGTTCTCTTCAACGCTGTCAAATTTCCTAAGTGAAAAATCTTTTAAGTAGTGGCGTGCGCAGAAAAAAGCATTTACAAGGTGAGATGGCAAAACAAGCAATCCTTTTTTCTTTAAGACGGATCTGTTCCCAGTGCTGGAGTGTGAACAAGGAGAAAAATTAACGTGTCCCTGGTAGAAAAGACAGCATCTTATTTTCATGCCTTTACGTAGATATTGCATACCACAGGAGTCTTAAAGAAAACAAGTTAAAAACAAAGTTTAAAGTCAGTGGTGGTGGTTGAGTATTGGCATTGAGCAGTGGCACTGCAAGCCCAGCTTTCTGCTCTTACCAGTTGACTCGTGGCTTACCTAAGATGGCCCGAGATTGTTGTTTGACTTGCATGGAGGTGCGGTCCTGGGAGCTGACACCAATCTATTCAAGAGAGGCAGATTTACAAGCCGTGGTTCTGTTGTACATTAGGAAATTTCACCTGGGGAGACGGATTTGAAAGCCATGGTTTCTACTAAGCGATCTCAGGTAATGCATCTCCCTGACACAGGGCAGTGCGAGGTGCTATGGATGGCTCCGATGTGTCAATGCATCTCTTGGCTGTAGCTTGCAGAGATCAGATAGCTGAAGAAGCGGGGTGGGGAGGAAATTATCTTTTTGAAATGGAAGCGTTTTCTATGGTTACTCTGCATTAGTACATGTAAATATTGCACAGAGTATCTGTAACTTCCCCATAGGTGCCATATAGAAAGCTGAAAATTAATAGAAAAACAACTCTGGCTTAGTTTTCTTTCTTGTTCCCATTATATTAGCCAAGCGCTTGTTTTACTGCCGTAACATCCAGTATGCTGTTGTTATTTTAGTTGTTGGTAAGGGGGAAAAAAAATGTTTAGCCAGTTAAGGGAACACTACTAGTTGTTCTGAAAACACATTGCAGGTAATGATCAGAGGTCTTTGCCCAATAGTGACCTTTTATTTTCAGAAATACTTTATTTTCTTTAAAAGTCCCTCAAGTATAAATAAATCTGAGTGCCTCAATAACTTGGTGGAGGTGGAAGAGCATCTTCACCAGTTCAAGATCTGTTCCTACTGATGATAGAAGACTTGAGCCAATTTGTGTGAAGTGTAACCCGTAATGTACTAATTTCTTCTTTAACATGGCTGATAACGTGTTCAGCCCTGTCAGTAGGAGGTATGCAGTATGACTTTTGACTGGCCTGATTTTCTAGAGGGCTGTGCACTTCTGCTTTTATAGCTGACCTGGTCCTCTGCGTTGTCAAATGTATGTAATCGGTACTTACGAATTGATTGAGAGATGTAAATAGCTAAAGTGAGCAGCAATAAGAAAGTAATCTTGCTGTTTTTCTTTGAAGCAGAGTGCTGTTCTAAATTTTGAGTCCTTTGACGTAAGAAAAATGAGGAATTTTTTCCTCTTGTAATCAGGTTGTGTTATAACTTTATATTAATAGTGAGCCAGTAGTTAATATCTTGTCACTGTTCAGTAATTGTATCTTGATCCCTGTTCAGTTCATTAGGCTTGGGAAAAGTTCAAGAATTGTAGTACGTGTTGAAATGTTTTCTAAGACGGATTAAGCACAGGTCTAGCAGCATGGATGCTTCCACAGAGTGGGATGCAGAAGGTTTGGGATAAATTCTGGGTGGGAAGGAAAAGCAGGAGATAATCGATGTACAGAATCATGTTTTGGTTGTCCCTATTGTAAATAAACTTTTGAGGCTCTGTAAAATTGTGATGTTAATCGATAGCTTTGAAGCTTTGGTTTGCTGAGCACGTTGTTTAGAAAAACTACCTCTTGTCTGTGTAGGAAAAAAAATAGGGAAGTTGGCATGTAAAATTGTTCTCCCTTTTGGGTGTAGGAAGATAATTCAGTTCTTGTCATCCCAGCAATATTTCTTTTTCTTTGAGATCATTTCCTGAAGACACAGAGCAGGCTCCTGACTAGTCCTTCAGTTCTTAAAATCCCACTGTACTTTGAAGATAGAACAGGCTATAAATCTACAGTGTGCTAAATGTTTTCTACCAGGAGTTAAGAGCTGGAGATTCTCATGGGTTCATTGTTGAGTGGTTTTTTTTTTCAGTGTAGTTATTTTTCTACCTCATCCTGATTTAAACGTGTGCTGTCTACTTCAGACAGCTTTTGATCATATAGATACTGAATCTATGGCAGAAAATAAGGTCCATGGTAGGCTGTGACCAGCCGAAACAGTAATGTCAACTCAAGACATCCCTAGCTGTTTTTATGTACTGCTGTAGCTCTCTGTACAGGTTTTGTTTCTCTTCCATAGTTGTTTTCCTACAGCATGGTGATCTTTGTGGTGCAATAAAAAAAAAAGGAGAATTTTTTGGATGACATCCCATGGCTTGCAATCCCCCCTGTATGTTAGTTTTTCCGATTGGTTTTACTAATCTGAACAAAGTATGCTGCATAAAATACAACTCATTTTGAAAAATATTTTGTTGGAGCTTTTTTAAATTTTCCATGGACTTTCTAATGTGAAAAATATTTTTTTCAAGTTAACCAAAAAATCTTCAGTGCTTTATGGGCTCAGACATTATCTGGGAGAAGTTTAGGAAGGAAGGGGAAAATATACTTGGTTTAATGCTATTTCTTCTGCTAATAAAACCCCAATTACCCTTCAGGTTGTTTAAATTTCACTTCATATATCAACAGTAAAAATAATTAGGCATAGAACATCTCATGTGGCCCCCTTTAGTGGTTTTTCTCCAGTACCAGATCGCTGCTAATTCCATTGAATGATCAATTTGTCTTCTTTATTTTTTAGCTACATGAAAGTAACTACGATGCTGGAAAAGCCCTGCAGCGCTTGGTGAAGAAGCCTGTGCCAAAACTGATTGAGAAGTGTTGGACTGAAGATGAAGTGGTAGGGAAATGAATTATTCCCTTGAGCCTTATAGTTCATGTTGCTTTTCTTGCCTTCTTTCTTTCTTTCTTTTTTTTTTCTAAAGAGATTGTCTTTACGGGAGAGAAGAGGGGCAAGTAATTTGCTTCACAGGATAAATTTTTGCACAATTCTGGGTTAGTGGGCCCTCATTCAATATACAGAGCATTCCTAGACTGGGGAAAATACCTTTCTAATAGTAGAGTAAGAGAGGAGAAGATCAAGTGATGGTTTTTGAGAGGATGCTGTAGGGTAAATGGACAGCTGCAAAACTTCTGGACTTTAAATTTCACTTTCATTTTCACCTCCAGGAAGGCTGGCCACGTTCATTAATTGGAGTAGGACAAGATGTAAAAGACATACAAAGTACTGTCCCTGTTTTTTTGGGGTTTGGGGTTTTTTTGTTGTTTTGTTTTGTTTTGTTTTTGTTTTGTTGTTGCTGTTTCTGTGTGTTTTGCTGTTTTTTCTTGCTGGTATTGCAGGAGGCTTACAGCATCAGCTCAAGTTGGCTAATGGGAGGTTGGATGTCAGCATCTCTCCTAAACAGAGTTTAAGTCCCTTCTTTCCCTCATACAGAATTAGAATTGCTGGCATAGTTCTTGATGGATGAATCTTTGACAAAGAGCAGACCAAAAATATAGATTATCTGAAAGCTGGGATTTAGCCATGTCATCCGCATTCACTTTAAAGTGTGTAGAAATTGTCAGGCTTCAGAACTGTACTGAAAGCAGTGCATCTGTCTTATACTGTGCCCTCACAGTTATGGACCTGCAATTACTGAGGGATTTGGGCTCGCACAATTTAACATCCTGGTAAGTCTCATCGACTTCCACAACGTAGTAGACACAGTGCTGGTTCTTCCATATGGCTACTGTTTCAGCCTGTGCTGGTCGTTAGTCCTTCTAGGCTTGGGGTTGTAGTGCAGGCAGAGGAGGAAGATGTCAAAGATGTCAGTCTTTCCTTCAGAGATTGAGGTTTTTGGTGTATATGACTTTGGATTGAAATGTTACTGTTGTTATTAGCCTACTGAAAGATACTGCTCTGCAGTCTGACTAGTGGAAAAAAATAATTTTAACCTGAGAAAGACACCTCTTCATAAAAGCTGTAGTTGACACAGAGGGTATGCTGCTGGGAAAGCACTTCACATTCAAATGGACCACTTTTTTTTTTTAATTTCTTTGTATTTTTCCAGAATTTAAGGGAGATATCATCAGTGTGAGCATTAGTGAAGCAAAGGTGCTTCTGGTGGTTCATTCTGCAGCTTAATTGCTGCAATTGTGAGGTTTCTACTGGCTTAATTTTTATACATAAGATATAACACAACTGTGCTTATTAAACAGTTTTCTGTAGGTTTGTAAACTGAAATAAATCATGTGAATTTGGGAGAAAACTCTATATTCTTAATTTGGTGACGCCTTGTAAACAAACATTCTTAAATATTGCATTCAACAGAAGATGCATTTTCTGGCAGCATTTGGAGTGCAAATGCTGCTGCATGACAACCCTTTGTTTATCAGACCTTGCAGCTTAAGCTAGCACACAAGTACTTGATTGTTAAAAAAAAAAAAAGGAAAACTCATGCATTTTCAGTACCCAGGAGAAATCTTGAACAAGTTCGCTTGGATTACATCCTAAAAATATTTTGCATTTTAATGCCGATGTTAATTATGCTTAACAGAATAAATTTATGTGAAATGTAACATGTAAGAAGACAGTACCTCTTAGCAAGCTGACTAGGCATGTCTCGTTTTGTGAAAATGGAAAAATGTTATATTTCCTAGCTCGATAATTAGGCTGCAGTATGCACTAAAATAGAAAATCAGATGATTGGAAGTTAGTTATGATAAAATATTTATCACAGAAGAACTTCAGACTCGCTTATGGTTTTTACCTTTCACTGTTGGAAAAGCTGCTTCCTTCTTATATGCCATATTGGAATAAGCAGGGATAGAAATTCAACTTGTCATGTATATTTTCCAGGTATGTAAATGAAAAAAAACTGATATGGTGCAAAACGGTTGGACTTGATGATCTTTGAGGTCTCTTCCAACCATAATGATTCTATGATTCTAAGACCACATTGCTCACGTAAAAGTGACAAGATAAATTTTGGGTTGGTTTTTTTGTGGGTTTTGTTTTGTTTTCTTTGAATGAATTTTTAAGCTAGTTAGTTGGTAAAGTATTTGAAGAAGTAAATAAAAATAAAAGTTTTGTGATCTTGTTAAGCTACTAATAAAGTTGGCATTGGAACTATAAAATAAAACTGGTTAATAATGGGTGAAACTTATGGTCTCTCGGCATTTTTTAATTACACAATGGCTGGAGAGACTTTTTTTAAGGTCTCGTTTCTCTGAAAGTCTTTCAGGGAATTATTGCAATGAATTACGTGTGCTTTCTCTCTCCTTATGTAAACCTTTTGGCAAGTGCTAGATTAGGGCTAGGCCAGGCCGTATAAACCTGTATTAAAGTAGGCTTACTCTGAAATCCAACAAAGAACCTTTGTGGTAAGGAGACTACCTGGAGTTGTAGAGTGAAAGAGGATCATGTGCTAACACTGGCAGCAAAGCAAAGGAGAAGATGAGTAAAAAGCCTAGAACACAGTTTCCTGATAACTTTTACAGTTATCTTGTCATAAAAGGGAGTTTTGTTTAGGGAACCAACTGTCGGAACAAATACTTCAAGTTCTCTGCTCTGTGTTTAGTAAGTTTGTATTTGTATTGTTTTAACCTCTTGTTTTCTCTGCATACATTCTTTCCCACATTGATGGCTAAATTGTACAGTTCCAACACCTCTCTTTTTTTCTGTGTAGATTTTTTTTTTTCACTGTCCTTGTTTTTTTCCACCAGCTGCACTATGTTGTGAATGCCATAGCTGCTGCAGCTCAGGGGTTTTTGATGAGCGGTCCATGTTAAATCATAGAGAATAGACCTTTACGAATAGAAAAAGCAAAGTTTATTGAAAAATGAAACATCACTCCAAAAGTGCAAACTCTGTGAGTACAGAATAATGATCATTGACTCTATAAATCATTGTCAGTCTCGGCTCATTTTATCATACTTGTTCTTGTTCTGTTCCATCCAAGTTTCCAGAAACATTTGGCAGCCCTCCAGCCTCAGCAGAGCCAAAGATCAAACTGTGCTCTTATTTATAGACAGCTAAGCTCCACCTGCACAACTTCATAGCATGTTTGTCCCTGGCAGTTTGTAGAAAACTCCAGATTAAGGCAGCTGTACTGCACTTCTGAGCATTTCTGAGACTTGCAAGGGAAGTTTCCTTACTGTCGGCTCTGTGAAAGTGAGGTAAACTCTGTGTGATACGTAGGGTGCTAAAGCTGCGTAGGAACTCCCCAACAGAGTGTTTTCCAGAAAACACTGACGTGTCAAACCCAAAGTCTGGCCAAAGCAATGAACTTTTGGTCAGAACCTTATTAAGTGTGTGTCCCGACTCCATCTCACGACGGCACGCCATGAGCAGGAGGAAGCCTCTAGTAGTGTGCCTGGCTGCTAATCCAAGAGCCCCACTCCTAAGGGAAGTGGAGGACCCAGGTCCAAACCATGTCCCTGTTTGTGCTGGACTTAAAATTATCTCTTCTTGAGGCCCAGCAAATATCTACTTACTTAATTTTTACAGCGTGGATAAATTAGCAGATACCAGACCAGGCACAAAGCGTTGGTCAGTTAACCTCCTTAACCGAGAAAGGTTCCATGGCGTGCAACCAATTGAAATAACATAGAGCACGGCTTTTGTTGTCTCAGTTTTTCCACTCCCACCTTTCTTATTCTATAATCATATTCTGCTCCTGCCATGCGTCTGGACCCCAAAAAAGTCACACTCCCTTTTTGTTATTCTTAAGTTAGTTTTCTGCCAGATTTTTAAGATGAGCATCAGAGAAGCTCTGTTGCAGGGAAGATGTCAGGTTGGGTGGCTGGGTGGAGAGCAAAGCAGAGGGAAAGGGGCATTGTGGCAATGGCAAATGTGGCAAAAGCAGCCGAAGTAGAAGTGTAGTCACACTGATGCAGGGGAAGAACTGACTTAGTACAAAACTAATTCTTAAAACTTTACACTTCCCTAAGTCAAAAGTCCTCTGTAAGTTGGTTGGGCTATTACTTGCACGAGTATTTTGACTGAGTCCATTTCCACTGTGCTGGATAATTAATGTAGTTGATTTTGTTGTGCACATGATAGCAACGCTGTGTCCAGCACAGGTCTCTGTAGTATTTGTGATATAACACTGTGTGAATAACTCAAATTTATTGAAAATTTATTTATTTGTAAAACTTTTTAACTTCTTCTGTGGACGGTTGCCCAAATATAAGGCCTTTCTTGTTAATTAAAACAGCTTCGTTGCCTGTGACCAAACTGTCAAGTAAGAGCTGCTTTGCAGTGGTCAGAACTGGTTAAAATAAAGGATGGGAGTTATGTTAGTTTTACTACTGATGATGTGGTTACAGAGGTTTAGATCAATTAAACAGAGGATAAAATTTGCCAGTGATCGAATTAAATGGAAGGCTCTGCAAATATGAGGATAGAGGCTTGTTGTCTCCCTTGTGTTTCTAAACCTATGGCTATTTTTAAACCCTTTTTTTAATTCCCGTATGTAAATTCAAAGGCGTGCTGTGCAAACCAGTCTTCCCCGCTGCCTAATAAAAGTGGCTAAAGAAACCGCTTTACTGATGCATCTACACGCAGCTCTGAGAGCAGCTGTTTCCTGTTTATAAGGGCTTATGCTACACCTGACAACATCAATTTCCAGCAATGATTCGGTGGGGGGATGTTGGTTTCTCTTGTAATGCTGATGAATTTACTTCTGTGGACAAATCTGTTGAGCAGTCTCATATAATGCCGTATTTAAGTGCTTTCTAGGCGTGGGCCCTATAGACCAACATTCAGCGGCATCACCTGGTGGAATCTTGTTAGTGTTGGGCTGTGGTTTCAAACAGAAAGCAATGCAGTTCAGAGTAGATGCATTATTTGGGAAGAAG